GAATCAATTTTATTGGGTGCTTGAAATCGGTATGGCTTCCATCTGGCTCGTAAACTTTTGACAGTATGACAGTGTGATGGTATGAGATCAATCAAGTGGGACTAGTCCATATATTGTTTGAAATTTGGGATCAAATAGAGCACCTCAGCAGTATTTTCCTCTTAAATTACGCTCTCCATGAAAGGGACTGCTGTGTAGAAGAGATCGGTTTATATTAGACCTTATCATTGCTATTGCTATAAATAAAATCTTGCTGGTAGAAATAGACTCTTCTGTTAGCCCTGCTCAGAATTCTCCTTTGTTGTGTCTTTTTGTGTGTATAGAATAGTGATAGATGTAAAGCGCGAGATTTTTATCAAGAATTATCCTACCTTTTCTTCCTATGTGCGGGCTTTTTTTGTATTTGCCTGGTTACCTCAAGTGTTAGATTTGGTCGTATTCAATTAATGTATGGTCTATGTATGGGTATTGTTTATTTTATTTGCCACTCTCAGGGTTTGATAAATACTTCAGTCCAGTTGTCACTCTTGAGGCGAGTGCGTTTTGATTCCAACGCTTCTATCTCTGTTTCTTATTTATTTTCGCCATGTAGTGAATTTTATTCGATTTTTGACGAACTTTGTATTTTTGCTGGTGGCCTATTTTGTTTTTGTAGAAAGTTTTTTTTTGCACTGTGGCGACGTAAAACGTTCAAGGCTACTTTAAAAATGCGAATTTCTAGCTTGAAGAAGTATTTAATTGTCCCATTGTTCATTGTGTCTTGGTGCAGCTAACACGCTGTTGCAGGACGTTGCTTCCAGCAGGTTAGTCGAACCAGGTGCGTACGACTACCGGAAGCAACGGAAGCCATTATGGCTTTCTATGGAAATCATAGTAAAGGACGTACGAGAAACCACCATAGCAATTTTGATCGTGATGAACCTAATGGGTGAGTGAAACGTTTGAAGAGTTTCTTGGTATTGCTTTTCATACTTTTTCATATCCTTTTGAATTGTTGATTTCATTCTAAGGAAACAAAGTAGCTTTGGTTAGTGACAGTGCATTTGGCTAGGCGGATCTGGGTCAGCCGTAAGGCCGATGTCAGGCTTTGCGAATCGAGAAACTTCACGAGGTGACCGCGGTTGCTAGCGAACCGTTCGATTCGCAAAGTATGGTCGGCCCTAACCTTTGTCAAATCTCGTATTGGCCTTATCCAACCTCCACCGACAGGGATGTGGTTCTCATCTAGTGCTTTTAGTCTGGCATATTATAATCGCACCAGTCATACCTGAGGACTACGCTTCGTGACTTAAAAACCTCGACAGCGTCAGCGCGGTCACATTATGTGCCAAATTAACAAAGGAAAGACGTAGAAAATTCCACTTTTTATAGAAAAAGTTCCCCATCTCTATTAAGCGTTAGGCTTGCCGCTCAGATAATCATGAACAGGAGGAATATGACTTTGAATGTTACTAGCCATCCTGTAAGAGATAGAGTAGATGTGTGATGTTTGGACGCAGGACCCAGCTTTCATGACAACCTATTACATTCTCAATGTCTACTTTGTTGCCACAGTCTATAATAGCCTCTCTCGCATACTCGGTTTTGAGCTATCTCAGGACGGTGACCAGTTTTTTGATATTTTGTTTGTCATTTTCCAAGTGACAGGAATATTTAAGGTTTAAAAATCCTCAATATGGTCCACATGTGCAGTTGATCGATGCGAATTGGGAACGACAAGTGACGGCGAAATTGGATGAGTTCTTGAATGGAAGTGCAACAGGTAACACCTTAATTAAGGATCTTTTTTCAACAAAAGCTTTATTTTTGTATGAAAAAACTGAGTATTTTCTTGCCTTTCTTCACACCCGTTTTGCACAATGTTCAAGGTCATAACACAGTTTTCAGAATTGTGCTTCCCTCCTATGGAACGTCCAGAGCGACGTCGCTTGCACGAGCTGGCCAGACGAAAAGGTCTCCAAACTTCGAGCGAGGGGTCTGTGACATTATTAGCTGATTTCTCCAGCGTGACTTAAGTGTCTGATTTTTAGTAGGGAGCCAAACCGGCGGTGTGTCGTTCATCGTCGTCCAGTACCACGGCTGGCCGCTGTTGGCGCAAATGAAACACAGCCAATTCGACTGGCTCCTGAAATTCGAGAAGCCGTGAGTTTCGATTATTGCAAAATTTGATCAAAACTATATGTGATCGTCAGTTCTGTACTATAAGTTGTACCATCGAATGTGTGAGGGTAGCACTTGTGTTCAGTTAGTTCCAAGTAATTGATGTTAAAAATGTAAATAGAGATGGTAAGGATGCAGTGGTAAAGAAAAAAAAAACCAAGAGAGCTGGTCTAAAACACTCGGGGTGAGAATCCATTCTCGACGATTTCCGATCTGGACAAGCCAGCCTCCAAGGCAGAGGTCATACGAACGTGTTTGCCGCGATGCCCGCCCCAATGTCAGTAAAAGTTACGCATTGACTGATGCAGCGTCAGATGCGGGGTTTACGGACTACTTGGACTTTCCTCAGTGGTATTGCCGTGAATTTGAGCACACGATTTGAGAATGGCGCTGACCGCAGCTTCTAACGACGGGTAGCTACGTGAGTAAAAGGGATTGAGTGCAATCTGAGGGGTGGGTGGGGGAGGGGGGTTGCATGAACTACGTCTTCATGTAGTAAAAATTTCAACGTGCGAGGTCGCCATGGTCGTAACGTACAATTTAGGCGAAAAGGTTCAGGTGAGGGCAGCGCATAGACTCCTTTCAGGGCTTGGGTCCAATTAGTCCGTAGATGAAAATGCAGCCGATAGAAGTGAATGTTTTGTAAAGAAAACGAATGATGACGGTAAGGATCGGCGACCGGCACACATTTGCTATCATCCAGCCACCTGGCGGCGGACGCGTAACCACGGGTGGGCCGTATAGGCTGCTAACAAGGAAGGTCTTTCATGGTGTAAAGCGCATTCTCGAATCGGTTTTCTGCATCTCATAGGAACTCTCGAGTGGACTACAAAACTAAAGTACGTTTTCGCTGAGCGGTTCGGTGAAGTCCTAATAGGGTAAAAAGTGGTTCAAGGTTTAAATCCCCGTGATAACCAAATTCTGCATTTTAGGTCGGAGCTTTGCTCCATGTAGCACCATCGCCATAACAGGTGTCACACTCATTACTATCATTCATTCATCAGTTTCCCTACATTATATTTTCACCGAAACCCGGTGAAAATCGCCTTTCCGATCCTTTTTTGGCCTCCAGGGGCCGCCCAGTGGAAGTGAACCTCCGTTTTGCAGCCCACATGAGGGTCCCTATTCGTGCTAGAAACCGTTCTGAAAAATGCTCCACACCCTGGACGACCTTCTTTGTGAGGGATCTCTCGTCGCTGCGGAAGCCTTAATGGCCTCCGTTTACAGTACGCAATAGATATGGTTATGAAGAGATTATGGCTCAGAAAGTGCAACTCGAACTGAAAGGCGATTAAACCTTGAAAGTGTTATCATAAGATATATCTTAAAGGCAGCGGTTACGCTAGGTTTAAATGTGGTTTGGAGGGGACGAGGGGGTCCTCAATAGTACATCAGTGGCGAAAAAAGCAAAGAAATCCGTCAAAAATAAGCAAAATAGTGCCCCTTTGATTGCCCTTTCATTTTCGATCATGGATGAGCGACGGTAAAGACTGAGGTTGTTCGGACGTGTTAACCCCGATAGCTGCCATCATGCCAACAAGCATAGTGTTTCGATTGATAAGGCATAACATGGGCAAGATGGAAGATACAGCCGCTAGATGGGAAAAGATCATCCAAAATGAAAAGCCAACAGCAATCAGTCCATCCAGATCATCAACAAAACCAGTGGGCGGGGCGGCGCATGGGGCGGAAGGGCGCAATGGTCCTGCTCAGCAACCACAGCACTGTTCGCAGTGGAAAGCGCCACACATCGCTTCCTTGGCGGCCTGCTAATTGCTCTGTGGGGAGCAGGTTCTCCGCAGATGTGAAAATTCCTTTCCGTACCTACTTCCTTTACAACGTCAGACTCCTTGTTGTCTAGCTCTGCAACAAAATATGGCTCTGCACAAGTTTTGGGTAGCACTTCGGAGGAGCAATCGCAAGGGTCTTGAAAATTTGATAATAAGAGATATAATGTGAATTTTTAAATCTTTCAATCACAAATGAAGCGAAAACTACAAATATTGATAACCCTGATTCTCATTCAACTGGGTTATTTTAGTTGTCGAATTTCATTTCTCATTATCCCATATATGGATCCGCTATAGAACGACATGTCATAGCACCCAAAGGTGAATATTTTCTCTACACAATTGAATATATCATAAAGCAAAATGTCTCTGGTCTACTCGAGATCGTCTCATAACGAACACTGGCAACCGGATCGGCCCGAAATGCTTGGACGTGCAACGCAGCAATAGTAGTACGGACAGCAAGCAACCAACGTATGGCTATCGTGGTTCTATGACTTCCCTTTTATTCACAAATGTTGTGCTAGCATTTATAAAACCCATTTTTGTTTTGCCCCGTTACAGAATCACTTTTTCATGTCTTCGCTTCCTCAAATGTGACCATCGTAAACGGTTTTACAGGAAATGCTTCCGGCATATCGGCCGAGGAAGATTACTTCGCTGCTATCAATGATCAACAAAATTGGTGAGATCGCACGGTGGCACTCGGTTGTGGAAAGACAATCGCAGTCTGATATTCATACTAACCCATACTTCTATGTCTTATGCGTGCTTTCCCAACTCAAAAGGAACGCTATGGTGGGCGACATAGGTCTCGAAAATTAGTCCACACTTACTCTCTTCTGCATTAAGGCCTGCCAACAAGGTGCTCGCATTTTCCGGCTTGGCACTTGTGGTCCTGTATATTTTTGGAAATATGGGGACAAGTGAATAAGTAAGGCCTACTCTCAGTAGTACCTCGTTCCCTTGAAAGAGATGCTGATCTCGTTTAATTGGTTCTGTTCTTTTAAGCAGAAGGTTTAGGTGCCACAATTCTTGCTGGAGCATGCATCGGAGAATAATCAGCCATTGCGAATTGTATGTACTCAACCGCGTCGGCTACCAGCAATCGCTGTGGCAAATCGTGTTGCTAGAGAGCGTGGAGAAAGCCTTGGTTCCACTGTCGGCTATCACATTCGCCTAGAGCAGAGGTTTGCTTTTATTTACATACAGGACATTTCGATACCATTTTGAATCCTGGCATTCGCGCTTCTTTCCGTTTGATTCTTTGGAGGTGCCTTCGATTCTATTTTTGTTTTATTGTTAGAAGCGCCAAGTTTTGTTCTCAGGACTTCGCCTCAAACTGTCCTCACGTACTGTACAAGTGGTGTTCTGCTGAGAATGCTAACGCAAGATGATGCAGCGCGTGATATATCCCACATCATTCTGGTGAGTTACCGTTTTCGCCATTTCCTTGAAATGCTTTGGAGCCTTTTGCCATGAGAAAGCGTTCATTGTTGTCAACCCGATGGGATACATGAGTGTTATCGGCGATTTACGGTGACCACGATATTTGGATCCGCGGCGCGTTTTTCATCCATCATTTTTCCTCCCTCTCTTTTGTCTTTTCTTTTATGAGGAAGCGTGGGGTATCGCAACCGGGATATGTATCTAATCCCGCGAATTTCGAGGGATTTGAGAACTGCAAAGCTTATCTAACTTTGAACGCTGCCTCGTGATAGTACGGAGGGAAACATGTAGGGGGAAACCTTTAGTATGACTTGCATACGAGTCACGCTGTAGTCAATAGCATCACTTATCCCTTCATGCTTCAAAATTTTTTATTTTTATCAAAGTTGTTGTTCGACTGGCTTGTAACACGTGGCTATCACGACGCTTTTTTGTACCTTCTTTGTCAGTAACTTGGGATTAAGTGATGTTGACAGTGTTGTGCTTAGCTTCCAGTTGGCCTTAGATCATCGCACCTAGTGCTCCCTTTTCTCAAATAAAATATGTGCGCTTCTTAATGGAAAATTTACGCATCAGATTCATTTTTCAAAATTATTGTAATTATTTTCAGGATGAGATACATGAGCGGGAACAGAATACCGATTACTTGTTGATAGCGCTGAAACAGGCCTTGAAAAAGCGGAACGATTTGAAGGTGAAATTCAACAGCCGTACCACAATTTATCCTACTATATGTGTTTATTAGTTGCTTTAGTTTTT